CCTGGGATTTTGGGCACGTACCCACACACTCCCAGCAAAGTTTTCAAGCCCCCAGGACCAGGACTTGAACTGCAGTTGACCAAGTGGGAGTCCAGGATCTTAATCGCCACACCACGTGCTGGTGCCTCCATATGCACTCTGTAGATACCAACTTCCGTTTTCTATACTTACCACGTGGGTGTGCATCCGAGGAGGCACATCATCTGCCCTTTGCACGCCGTGTGTGACGTGTTCTGTGCAGGACCCACGTGGGCACACGTGGAGGAGGTGCTTCCTTTCCTGCTGTGTGACATTGCTGGCTCGCCCAGGCCGACCCCGTGAATGGACAGGTGCCACAGTCTGCGGGCTCTGCCACAGGGGCTCCCGGCGTGCACCAAGTCAGTGCTCCTGGCTCCTCTGCCGGAGGACCGCGGTTGCCTTGGGCTCTGAGCACTGACACTTCGCAGAGCCCTGTGCACCCACTCACATTCCACACCAGCCTCGTAAGCCCCGGGGCCTGCATCCTTGCCAACTCCTGGCATCCCAGACCCGGGAGCTGTTGCCAACTGAGGGGGCAAAGGCGCTGGGTGTCCTCACCTGCACTGGCCGGAAAGTGCACACTGGTGCCCACAGGCACGGGTGCAAGTCCTGCCTCTGCCTCTGTGACGGATTGCTCTGGGCACCAGTGTTCTCTGCAAAGTGAACTAGATATTAGTGACTGCTGCTTTTTTTTTTTTTTTTGAGAGGTTTTTTTTTTTCACTATAGGGCGCGTGTGCTCGCCAGACAGACAGGGAGAGACATAGAGACAGAAAGTGAGAAATCACCCCCCAGGGGGGATGGTCACGCCGCAATCCCTTCTCCTCCATTCTCCTCCCGGGATCTTGGGCACGCACGCACACGCGCCCAGCGTGAGTTTTAAGCCACCGGGTCCGGGACGTGAACCGCGGTCGACTACGTGGGAGTCCAGCGACATAGCCATTACGCTAACTGCTGGTTCCCCTGTTTTCGTTTTTTGATTTTGATTTGCATCTCCCTAATTGCAGGTGCATGTGTATCTCGTGTTTAGTCATTTTTGTTTCTGTGAGTTCTGCGTTTTATATCCTTTACCCATTTCTCCATTCTTCGGGATTTCATTGATTTGTAGGAATTACTTATATGTCTTGGGTGTTAATTTTACATTACAAATGTTGCAAGCAGCTCTTCCTGGTCTGTCACCTGCATTAGCTTTGTTACTATCACATAGAAATTTTAATTTTTTTTCTTTTGGAGAGGTTTTTGCTATAGGGCGCATGCACTCGCCAAAGACAGAGAGAGACAGAGAGACAGAAAGCGAGAAATCACCCCCAGGGAGGATGGCCACGCCGCAATCCCTTCTCCTCCATTCTCCTCTCGGGATCTTGGGCTCGCACGCACATGCGCCTAGCGTCAGCTTAAGCTACCAGGTCTGGGACTTGAACCGCGGTCAACTACATGGGAGTTCAGTGACATAGTCATTATACTAACTGCTGGTCCCCAAATTCTTCCTTTTTTTTTGGGGGGGAGAAGTTTTTTGCTATAGGATGTGTGTGCTCCCCAGAAAGGCAGAGAGAGACAGAGACAGAAAGTGAAAAATCACTGCAGGTCCCTCGATAACTTTCTTTTCTAAGATTTCCAGCTGGTTCTTCAGAACATTCTGTTGAAGGCAGCGCAGTTAAGAGCTACTGTGGAGGGGCCCAGGAGGTGGCGCGGTGGTTAGACCCAGACTTCCACACGGTCAGCCACGGTTGGAGTCCCTTGCTCTCTCTCTTTCTCTCTCTTTTCCTTTGGGAAGCACGTGTGCCCTGTAGCGAATTTAAAAATAACGATAATGATAAAATTAGAATAAATAATTATTGGGCGCATGTGCGTGCATGCCCAAGATCCTGAGAGGAGAGTGGAGAAGGGATTGTGGAGTGGGCATCCCCCGTGGGAGGTGATTTCTTGCTTCCTGTCTCTTTGTCTCTGTCTTTCTGGTGAGCACACGTGCCCTATAGCAAAAACCTCTCCAGAAAAACAATCTTTAAGAAAACAAAAAACAAAAAAAAAAACCTGGGACCAGCAGTTATGGCTCTGTCGCTGAACTTCCACGTAGTCAACCGCGGTTCGAGTCCCGGACCCTGTGGCTTAAACTCACTCCAGGCGTGTGTGCGTGTGTACCCAAGATCCCAAGAAGAGAATGGAGGAGAAGGGATTGCGGTGTGGCCATCCCCCTTCGGGGGCGATTTCTTGCTTTCTGTCTCTCTGTCTTTCTGGCAAGCACATGCACCCTACAGCAAAAACCTCTCAAAAAGAAAAAGCCCTTGGGACCAGCAGTTAGCGTAATGGTTATGTCACTGAACTCCCATGTAGTCGATCGTGGTTTGAGTCCTGGACCCGGTGGCTTAAACTCATGCCAGGCATGTGTGCGTGCATGCCCAAGATTATGAGAGGAGAATGGAGAAGGGATTGCGGTGCGGCCATCCTCCCCAGGGGTGATTTCTTGCTGTCTCTGTCTTTCTGGCAAGGACATGTGCCCTATAGCAGAAACCTCTCCAAAACAAAGCCCTCGTGGAGCTCGCATAGTGCCCTGGTCAGGTGCTTCATGTGCATACGCACCTGCGGGCTTAGGAAGGAGCCACGGGAACTAGGTCCAGCTCTGCCCCCCTCCAGCACAGTCCTCTCAGGTAGGTTCTCCACCTCCACCTGCCTGTACCTTGGACTCCCCTTCTTTTCTTAAATGTAATTTTACTCACCATTTTTTTTTTAATTTAAATTTAAGCAGAGACACACAGAAAGAGAGGGAAAGTGAAACAAGCCACCAGGTCCAAGATTCGCACCACGATCAGCCATGTAGGAGTCCAGCACCCAACCACTACACCACCTACTGGCCCCATCTGGCAGCCCTCTGAAGTAGGGCTAGAGCGGAAGAACCAAGGGTGGGGTCAGGGTCAGCGCACCCATGAGGAGCCCAGAGCAGGACCAGCCTTGGTGGTGTGT